TTTTTTTGTAGAGGTTTTTGCCTTAGGGTTCATGCACTCACGAGAGAAAGAGACAGAGGCAGTGAGAGGGAAAAGGAAAAATCACCACCCAACCAGGGGGCACCCTGCAATTCATTCTCTTCCACTCTTCTCAGGATCTTGGGCACACATGCACACATATGCCCAGCATGGTTTTTTTGTTGTTTTTTTTTTTTGTTTTTTTCCCAGCATGAGTTTTAAGCCACTAGGTCTGGGACTCAAACCACAGTCAGCCACACAGGAGTCCAGTGACATAACCACTATGCATCTGCTGGTCCCATGTGTAATAATTTCTAGATAATTTTTTTCTGCATGTAACTACTTCTTTCTTTCCTCATGACTCTATTTTCTTCCTCTGCCAAGAAAAGTTTTCTTGAGAATATCATTACAGGCCAGCAGGTGGCGTGGTGGTTAGGGCACTGGACTCTCACATAGCTGACTATGGTTTGAGTCCTGGGCCTGGCAGCTAGCTTTCTCTCTCTCACTCTCTCTCTCTCTCTCTCTGTGAGTGTATGTGTGTGTGTCTGTGTGTGTGTCTGTCTGTCTGTCTCCCTCCCTTTGGTGAGTGCATGGGCCCTATAGCATATTAAAAAATAATAAGGGACCAGCAGTTAGTGTAATGGCTTTGTTGCTGGACTCCCACGTAGTCAACCGCGGTTTGCGTCCCAGACCCGGTGACTTAAAACTCATGCCGGGCATGTGTGCGTGCATGCCCAGGATCCTGAGAGGAGAATGGAAGAAAAGGGATTGTGGCGTGGCCATCTCCCCTGGGGGGTGATTTCTCATTTTCTGTCTCTCTGTCTCTCTCTGTCTGGTGAGCACACACACCCTATAGCAAAAACCTCTCCAAAAAAATAATAATAATAAATTTTAAAATAATTAAATTTTTTTTGTTGTTTTTTTAAAGAGAACAGCATGAAAACAAATTTTGCCCAGGGATAAGATATAGCTTCAATTTCCATTATATTAACTATAGTCTCTATTGGGCATAAGCAATCCTTATCACCAACACTTCCTCAATTCCAGAGGGAAGAGAAACATAAGTTGCTTAGTCTATACTTTATTTTTTTCAAAACAGAATACTTTCATATTTCTATAAGAAAATGTGGGGACCAGCAGATGGCATAATGGTTACATCACTGGACTCCCACATGGTTGGCCATGGTTGGAGTCCCAGACCTGGCAGCTTGAAACTCACACCAGGCGTGTATGCATGCATGCCCAAAATCCCAAGAGGAGATGGAGGAGAAGGCATTGTGGCATGGCCATCCCCTCTGGGGGCTGATTTCTTGCTTTCTCTCTCTCTGTCTCTCCAGTGAGCACACACGCCCTATAGCAAAAATCTCTCTAAAAAAAAAAAAAAAAGAAAGAAAGAAAGAAAGAAAACGACTGTGAAATAGCAGTATATAAAACAACTGGTATTCAGTGAATAGGATGTCACTGACAGAAACTATCCCATTTATTTCCTCAAATAAATCACAAAGTATTTAATGCATTCTGTTGCAGAGGAAAAAATAGTAAATTCATTAAGTTTACTCAAGACTTATTTCTAAGCAAGAATCTGTGTGAAGTTGAGTTTCTTCTTTAAAGAACAGTTAGAAGCAAGGGAAAGCACAGATGCATGTTCTCAGGTACATCAGAATCCACAAGTCACTATTTCATAATGAGGAGTCAACAGAATTTCATGAGGTAATCTTTTGGGGGGAGAGGACATGTACATACATGTGCCCAGCATGTTTTTCTTTCCTTTTCTTTTGAATGGATTATTTATTTCATTTTATTAATTATTATTATTATTTTAATTTGATCATAGAAGGACAGAGAGAGAAAAAAAGCAAGCTGCTAGGTCCAGGACTCAAACCACAGTCAGTCATGTGGGAGTCTGGTGCCTTAGCCACCACACTACCTGCTGGCACCCCAGCATGTTTTTCAAGCTACCAGGTCTGGAACTGTGCAGTCAGCCATGTGAGATCCAGCTGCTTTAAACAACCATGCAACTGGCTGGTCCCATGAGAGAGTATTTTTAATCAAGGTGTAAAGAATATTTAAGTCAACAAATCATTACCCTTAAAAATACTAGCTGAATCAAAGGATGCTATCAAGAAAGTACAAAAGAATACCCACAGAATGGAAGTAAATATTAGCAAATCATATAGCTGATAAAGGTCTAGTATCCAAAATATACCAGAACCCTTACAAATTAACAATAGAAATTGTAAATATAAGTTTTTTCACTTAACGTATTATATTTTTAAAGAAGTATTTTATTTAACTTTATTTATTTATTTATTTATTCATTCATTCATTCATTCTATTTTAACTTGACCAGAGAGGGACAGAGAGAGAGAGAGAAGGCAAGCCATCAGGTCCAGGACTCAAACCACAGTCAGACATGTGGAAATCCAGCACCCTTAACCACCACATCACCTGCCGGCCCCTCAGTTAATGTATTATTTAAAAAAAAAAATTATAACATCTTTAATGGGAACAATGAGCTTGTAGTCTTTTTTTTTTTTAATTTAGAAGTTTTTGTCATAGGGTGCATGCACTCACCAGAGAAAGAGACAGAGATAGTGAGAGGGAAAGTGAGACATCATTTCCAGCATATGGCCACACCATAACCCTCTCTCCATTATTTTCCTGGGATTTGGGACATGCATGCACACGTACCTGGCATGATTTTCAAGCCACCAGGTTCAGGACTCAAACTGCTGTCAGCCATGTAGGAGTCCAGCAATGTAACCACTACACCATCTGCCGCCCCCTGAGCTTTTATTTTTAAAAACTACATGCAGAAGGTACATCACTATCAACCTTATAATAAATTAGATAATCTAGATAAAACAGACGAATTCTTTTTATTTTAAGGTTTTGCGATAGGGTGCATGAACTTGTTGGAGAGAGACAGAGGGAAGGAAAGTAAGAAATTCATTCCCAGAGGAGATAGCCACACAGCAATCCTCTCTCCTCCATTCTCTTCCTGGGATTTTGGGCAAGTGCACACACATGCCCAGCATGATTTTCAAGCTGTCCAAAATCCTAAACAAAATACTAAAAAGCAATGCAGCAATACAGAAAAAGGACTATACACTATGACCAATTTAACATCCAAAAGTCACTTGATTGAGGCCCGTACTATGGTCTGGTGACTAAGGGAGCCAGATCCCACATGACCAACTATATAACTTGAATTATGGCTCTGGCAACTTGAAAAACACATTGGATGCATGTGCGTGCTTGTCCAAAATCCCAATAGGATGGAGAAATGGAGGAAAGAGATTTGCAATGTGACTGTATCCCACCAAAAGGTGCTATCTCCCTCTCCTTTTCTTTCTCTGCATCCCTGGTGAGCATATGTGCCTGCCGGCTTATAAGCAAAATCAAAAGTCAATTAATGTAATATACTATATTAAGAACAAAAACCACATGATCACCACAAAAGAGGCAGAAAGGCATTTGAGAAAACCCAACACCCTTACTCAATTAAAATAAAATCTCAACAAAAGAAATATCATCAACTTGACAAAGGGAAGCTATGAAAACCCATAGAGATATCATACTTAAAAGTAAAAGATTGAATGCTTTCTCTCTAAGATCTGGAACAACACAAAAATGTCCACTTATCTCTTGGGTCATCAGAAAAGTCATAACCTATTTTTCTATGCAAAAATGCACGTGACTTATCCAACGACCTAGCACTTCTATTCCCCACTGTACTTAAGGTTATATTCATGGAAACTAGGCAAGCAAAATAAATTGTAAAAGACATCTAAACTGGAAAAGAGGTAAAACCAACTTACTTGCAGAAGACATGATCTTGCATATAGAAGACCCTAAGGGGGCCAACCTGAGGCACGGTCACTGTGTGAGCTAGATCTCACATGGCCAACTGTGTAGTTCAAGTCTCTGATTCAGGGACTTGAAAAACATCCTGAACACATGCACATGTGTGCCCCAAATCCCGAAAGGACAGAGAAATGGAGGAAGAAGGATTATGGTGTGGTCATTCTCCATGGGGGTGGGGTGCTTGCTCACTCCCACGCTCTCGCTCTCTTTCTCTCTCTCTCCAGCAAGCGCACATGCCCTCTAGCTAACAACTGGGAAAGAAAGAAAAAAGAAAAGCCTAAGGAATTCTCTCTCACACACACCTCTCACACACCTCTCTCTCTCTCTCTCTCTCACACACACACACACACACACTTAGAACTAATAAATGAGTTCAGCAAGGCTGTAGGATAAAAACATCAATACATAAAAGCAATCATATCCTACACATTAGCAATGACTAGTCAAAAATGAAATTAAGAAAGTAATTCCCCACACAAAAACATTAAAAATAATAAAATACTGAAGGATAAATTTAGCAAAGTAAGCTTAAGATTTATACTTACTGAAAACTACAAAACATTTTAAAAATAAATTGAAGATGATCTAAATAAATGTAAAGAAGAGAAAGATGTGGCGATGCATGCCTATAGGCCCAGCTGGGATGCTGAGCAGGAGTAGCCCAACATACCAAAGCCCTGTCTTTAAATAAATAAATAAATAGAATAGAGGCCAAGTGGTTAAGATGCTAGACTCCCACATGGCCAACCAGTTCGAGTCCCAGACGCAGTGGCTTAAAACTCAAGCCAGGCAAGTGTGTGCTGTCTGCCCAAAATCCCAGAAGGAGAACAGATGGGAAGGAATTGCAGCATGGTTTTCTCTGCTGGAGGGAGATTTCTCACCCTCTCACTATCTCTGTCTCTCTCTAGTGAACAAATGTGCCCTATGACAAAAACCCTAAAAAATAAAATAAGACTTTTTTTTTTAATTTAAAAAAATCCCATATTCACAGGTTGCAAAATTTAGTATTGTTAAAATAGCTTGGGTGGGGCCAGCAGGTGACCTGGTGGTTAGGGAGCTGGACTCTCACATGGCCAACTGATGTCTAAGTCTACCCAGCAATTTGCTTTCTCACTTTCTCTCTCTCATTCTGGTGAGTGAGTGTGCCCTATAGCTAATTTAAAAATTATAATCATAATAAATAAAATAAAATAGATAAATAAAACATTCCAAGTGTGTGTGCTTATGTGCCCACAGTCCTGACTAGAGAGAGGAATGGAGGAGGGGAGACTGAAGCATGATGATACACCTGGATGAAGAGGGGGCGGTTCTCTCCCTTTTTTCTGGTAAGCACATGTGCCCTCTAGCAATTAAAAAGTAAATAAATAAATGAATAAATTCTCTAATTGAACACAATCTCTACCAAAATTCCAGTTATCTTTCTGGAGAAATTGACAAGCTATCCCCAAAATTTATTTAGAAATGCTAGGGTCCTAGAATAGCCAAAGTAACTTTGGAGGGGAAAAAAATGACACAGATGAAGGACACACATTTTCTGTACTGGCATAAAAACTGACATATACATCACTGGAATAGAACTGAGAATCCATGTGCATACCTTATTTATTATTGGGGTTCCAAAACAATTAATTAAGAAAGAACAGCCTTTCCAACAAATGCTGAGGCAGTTACAGAACCACATGCCAAACAATGAAGTTAAGCCCCTTCCAATATCTTTTATCAAAATCAACTCAAAAGTGATCATAGATTTGAATGTAAGAGCTACGGCTACACATTTTTTTTAAAGAGATTTTAGCTATAGCGCACGTAAGGTCACTTGAGAGACAAAAAGAGAAAGACAGAAAGCAAGAAATCACCCCACAGGGGGATGACCACACCCTACAATCCCTTCTCCTCTCGGATTTTGGGCATGCACACACATGCACCTAGTGTGAATTTTAAACTGCTGGGTCCAGGACTTGACTCGTGGTTGGCACATGGGAGTCCAGTGATGTAACCATTACACCATCTGCTGGTCCCAAGCTACAAAACTCTTAAAAAGAAAACGTAAGGAGGCCTGCAAGTGGCCTGGGGTTAAGGTGCCAGACTCCCACATGGCCAACTGCGGTTTAAGCCCTAGACCTGGAGGCTTGAAAATCCCTCTGGGTGAGTATATATGCACGCCCGAAATCCCGACAGGATAACGGAGGAGAAGGGATTGCAGTGTAGCTAATCCCACTGTGGGGGGTGGGAGGGTGATTTCTCACTTTCCTTCTCTTTTTCTCTCTCCAGCAAGCCCACACACCATATGGCAAAAACTAAAAAGGGAAAAAAATATGCCATACCTTGCCACACTGCTTGTAGGAAATTCTTTTTTGGTTGCAGTACTCATAGATGAGGGCTGCTCCTTGGACACATAATTTAGCCTTAAGAGATGCAGGTTTATAATAAATTCCGCTATGTATGACACCACTGTTGTGTCCAGTCTGGTGAACAGCTACAGAACAAGAGGAACAGGGTAAGGGAAAGCCCATGACTCACACGAAACCTACGAGGTGAGAGAGCAATCTTACAGCAGAAGCTGGTAGAAACCACGTCATTTAAAATTCTGCCAGAATTCATTCAGATCACTGGCAGCTTCCTCTAGCAGCCACCCTGGCATTTGTGTCTCCTCTCTCCAGCCCATCTCTCGTTTCAGCTGCAGCCTTGGGACACATGTCACTACTGGCAAACCACTTCAAGGGCCCACTGCGGCTCTCTGTACTCTGCCCTGCACCTTTTCTAACATTTTTTTCCCCTAAGGGTAAGGCATAGTGTGTGTATATGTGTGTGTGTGTGTGTGTGTGTGTGTGTGTGTGGGAGGGGGTGTAGGGAGGCTCAACATTACTAGGGACAATCCTCAACTCACAGAGACAGGAACTGATGGATAACGCACACAATCCTGGGAAACATGGCACTGGTCCCTTAAGAGGTCGCAGTGGAACTAAGCTGCCAGCAGTAACCTTGATAATGCACACTCACGTAGCTTTTCCTCCTTCCCTGTATTACTTTCCCCCCCACTCTCTTCTGCCTCCTCAAATAACCTCAAATACATTACCTACACCCAAGTTACTATCCCAGGCTTTGCTTTCAGAAAAACCCAAACTAAGATACTAACACTGACATTCAGCAAAAAAGATTCAGAAGTGACAAAATGAGAAGGTATCCAAACCCGAGGAGCAACGCTGATAACATACATACCTAAATCTTTCTCCTTTTCCAGAACACCAATCGAAAGTGCTGGATGTCGCAGGATGAGTTCTCTGGCAGATGCAAGCCCCACAATTCCACCACCGACGATGACTATATCAAATGAGCTTGAAGAGAAAGTCACCTTTAAAGTGATGCATCTTTACAGTGGACCTCACAAAACTTCACGTGCATAATATTCCTCACCAATGGACAATTCAACTATTAATTTGTTATCATTAAAATAAAATAATTAGGGGCAGGCAGGTGGTGTGGTGTTTAGGGCGCTGGACTCCCACATGGCCAACCACCGTTTGGGCCTGGAATCTGATGGCTTGCTTTCTCACTTTCTCTCTCATGAACGTAGGTGCCCTGTAGCAAATTAAAAAAAAAAAAAAAAGATAAATAAAATGAAATACTTCTTTTTAAAAATCAAATATATATTGGGCATCATGCTATTTGGTTTCACAATCAGGATAAAACCTTTAAGAGTTACATATATTTCTGGTTAGTAGTATAATCAGCTAAGTCAACTGCCAGGCAATATGGCTGACTGCCCTAGCTGCTCTACGCCTCCAGAGTACCCAACCTGGGCTGATGACAACAGTGATTACTGGATGTTATGCATCACACTTTACCACCTATTACTTTATTTATTTATTTATTTATTTGGAGAGGTTTTTGCTATAGGGCGCGTGTGCTTGCCAGACATACAGAGAGAGAGACAGAAAACGAGAAATCACCCCCCAGGGGGGATGGCCACGCCACAATCCCTTCTCCTCCATTCTCCTCTCAGGATCTTGGGCATGTGCGCACACGCGCCTGGCGTGAGTTTAAGCCGCTGGATCCGAGACTTGACCTGCGGTCGACTACGTGGGAGTCCAGCAACATAGCCATTAGGCTAACTGCTGGTCCCACCACCTATTATTCTTTTTAAATTTACCAGCGGGTCCACATGTCTGAGATAGTAGGGGACAGGGAGCACTGTCCATTGGGATGTAGTTGTGCTATGATTCCTTCTCCTCTCAGATCTGCCACTGTTTGGGATTTGGGACATGCACACAGGCATACCTAGTGTGTTTTCAAGCCCCCAGGACCAGGATTCAAACCACATGGTCAGCCACGTGTGATCCAGTTCTCTTAACTGCTAGGTCATGAGGCTACTTTTAAAAGTCAGACACAGTATTCTCGAGGATAGGCTAACACCTTAAGTCTCTAACATTTCACTGTGCAAGAATTTATATACTTGTTTCTATGAGAAGGAAAGAGAAGAACATCAAACCTTAGTGAAATAATTGGTCCAATAATGGGCTCAGAACCACATTCTTAGCCATGAAAAACCCTGACTATCCAACCATTAAAAAACTTAGAGGGGCCAGCAGGTGGCTTGGTGGTTAAGGCGCTGGACACTCCCACATGGCCAATCAAGGTTCGAGTCCCAGATTTGGTGGCTTGCTTTCTCATTTTCTCTCTCTCTCTGTACGTGTGTGTGGTCAAATTAAAATAAATGAATGAATAAAATAAAGTAATTCTTTAAAAAAAATTAGAAAGGGCATGTACAATTTACCTAACTCTGCAAAGAGAAGCTTAAAAGATTTCCTTTAGCACAGACCTAATGCTCAGCAAACCTAGGACTCACAGAAGTAGACTGAAAGGTATTTCAGAAATTATGCCCTTTCTTTGAAACTAACCTAAGTGTCAAATGTCAAAATCCTTAGCAGAAGGATATCTATTTGATTATAATTGTTAACATGTCTGTGGCTGTACCTAGATCCAGAAACAGCTGCTGGAAAATGAGGGACTGATATGTTACCCTGATAAATCAAACCCTGTCTTAAATGCAGTGAGAAATACATCAAGATTCCTCCTTTAATGCTCTCTGATAACTTAGATGGGGAGATCCTCCAGGTGGGACTTGACAGGTAGTTCTGCCTTGAAGCACCTTTAGACGGCTAGATAAAAATGACTGCCAAAGGGTGTCTGTGAGGGTGAACCATGCCTACACTCAGGAAGGGGCACAAGTAAAACGAGACTCTGGGCCCACTTTATTAATGATGGTTATTGGCAAATGCTTGCAGTGGTCAGCTAAGAAATGACTAGTGTGATAACAGTAAATATGGGGGTCCAAGGTCTCAAATAGGTTTTTAAAAATAACTTTCATGGACCAGAAGGGGCATGGTGATTAACACACTGAATCCCACATGATCAACTCTGTGATTTGAGTCCCACACCTGGTAGCTTGAACAACATGCTGGGTAGGAGTATATGCATGCCTAAAATCCAGAGAGGAGAATGGAAGAGAAGGGATTGTGGGGTGGCTGTTCCCCCTTGGGGTGATTTCTCGCTTTTCCCCTCTCTTCAGCTCTCTCTCTCTGGCAAGCACTGTGCTCTGTGGCAAAAATCTAAAATAAATACGTGAGTAAATAAATAAATAAAAATTACTAGGAAAAAAAAGGTGCTCACATTCTACTATGGTTACTTACACTGATTTGAAGCCATTGATTCTCTATTTAACTTTTACAATAAGCAAATCTTTTAGGAAATCCAAAGAGTCTAGGTTTTAAGAATTCCAGAAGAATAACTATAGCTAAATGAGGCTTCCTTCCAAAACCTTTCTACTCTTCCACTACGATGTTCAGAACAATCACGAATACTCAGGATAATGGTATGTGTGTAGCAATCTTATCTTATTATCCTTATCTTTCTGTAGCAAGGTCATATCTATACCAACTGGTGAACTGTAAATAAGTCCACAAAGGGAAGGTGTATGGGTGCTTGTGTGTGCGTGAGCAAGAAATATCTTTCATACTGTTTTTTTTACTTTCTTACTTTCGAGTTCAGTTACAATGCTTTGCTTTGCCCTCACACCATGCTTTTCTATAAAAAGTAGCATTATCCTCTCACTTTGCAAGGGTCGTCTTGTTTTCTATAATTGTGTTTCTTGGGCTGACTCTGTAGTAAGCAGTTAAGGGAGCAGGACCTCACCTGGCCAATCACACTTCAAATCCTGGCCCTGGTGCTTGGGAATAAAAAAGAGGGACCAGCAGTTAGCACGATGGCTATGTCGCTGGACTCCCACGTAGACGACCACGGTTTGAGTTCCGGACCCGATGGCTTAAATTCACACTGGGTGAGTGTGCATGTGTGCCCAGGATCCCAAGAGGAGAAAGGAGAAGGGTTTGTGGTGTGGCCATCCACCCTGGGGAGTGATTTCTCACTTTCCGTCTCCCTGTCTCTGTCTTTCCGGCAAGTGCACACACCCTATAGCAAAAACCTCTCCAGGAAAAAGGAAAAAAAAAAAAGTGTTTCTTGACTCTACTGCTTTTTCATAAATAGAACACAAAAGCTTTTGGTGAGGCAGATTTTCCACTGAGTTACTCAGTACAGCCTCCCAGCTAAGAAAATTTACCTCGCTCTTATTTCTGCAGATTATATTACGACCATCAATTTTTATTTTTTATTTTTGTTTTCAAACATCATAGTATCATACTAAACATGCTTTATCCAATGACATATATCACTTTTCACTCCATCACCTCCAACCTAAAGAATCAGTATTCCATTCAGTAATAAAATCACTAAAACACGCTTCATAAACTAAAGCACAAACATCCCAGCATCCACTCTGGAAATGGTGTTTAGAGCAATGGTAATGAATGCAACTTGAGGATCTTGGCAGGTTGTGCTAAACGGCAAGGCTGAAGGAGTATCTTTCTCCACAGTTTACTTAATCCCAAGTCAACACCAACAAGCAATGGAATAGATTATTTTATTTTAAACTTTTTATTATGGAAAAGTTCAACCTACATAAAGATAGAATAGTCTAATGAACTCCCACATACACAAAACCTGGGTTCAACTCATGGCAAATCTTCTTTCTTCTACACCTCACCTATTTCATCCCCTTCTATAGTAAATATATTTTGTTTCTGTTTAAGATGCATTTATTTATGTCACAAGAAAGAAACACAGAGAGAAAGACAAGTACCCTCAACAAGGTCTCATGCTGAGATTGTCTCCGTTTTTTCCAACCAGGATTTAAGGGCACGTCTTACATATGAAAGTCAACCTAGGAATCAAACCGTCATCTTACATATGACTTCCAGCATCACAGAAAATTGTGCCACTGCTACACCGCTGTGGCTAGGCCATCCTATGTTATTTTAATGCAAATCCTAAACATTGTGTCATATTATTTCATCTTAAATATTTCAATGTTATCTTGAAAAAGCCTTTTAAAAAACATACACACAGCGCTGGAAGGTGGCGTGGTAGTTAAAGATGCTGGACTCCCACGTGGCCAACCATGGTTCAGGTCTTAGACCTGGTGGCTTCCTTTCTCATTTTCCCACTCTCTCTGTCTGATCAAACTGGAAAATAATAACAAATAAATAAATAAAGTGAAATAAAATAAAATAAAATAATTAATTTAATAATTCTTTAAAAAATAACACACCATTTTGTGGCTAAAAAATTAACAATTAATCTTTTTATATCATCGAATATTCACTACAAACTTTTTATTTTTTTGGGGAGAGGTTTTTGCTACAGGGCATGTGTGCTCACCAGAGAGAAACGGAGAGACAGAAAGTGAGAAATCACTCCCCAGGGTGGATGGCCATGCCACAATCCCTCCTCCTCCATTCTCCTCTCGGGATCCTGGGCACACACACACATATGCCCGGCGTGAGTTTAAACCACCAGGTCCAGGACTTGAATCATGGTCAACTACATGGGAGTTCAGCGACATAGCCATTACACTAACTGCTGGTCCTTCACTACAAACTTTAACGGTACTGTGTACTGCTAAAACACCACACTCCACAGGCTGGGGTTTGGTATCTCCATCTAACCTAAAGGTCTTGCATGGTGGCACATACCTGTAGTCCCACCTAAGAGGCCAAAGCAGGAAGACAGTGACTTGATGAGATTCTGTCTTAAAATTAAATAACTTCTAGAAGAAACACGACAAAAATCTTTATGACCCAGAGTTAACAACACCAAAAGCATGATTTATAAAAGGAAAAAACCTGATAAGCTAGATTTCGTAAAAATTTAAAACTTTTGCTCTGCAAAAGACCCTGTTAAGAAGATGAAAATAGGGGACCAGCAGTTAGCGTAATGGCTACATTCAAATTTCAATTCTAGGTGGCAATTTACTCCATCATTTACTCCTGTTCTTTCAACAAGCTGTAGATTCATTCACAGTTTTTCTGTGAATGCATAATTTTGTGTAAAAATGAGTCCTTGCCTCTCAGTATCTGTTAAAAATAGATTTGATTTTAGGAATGAAATCATGGCTTGAGATGCAGGTTTGCCATGTATCCCTGTCATTCTTGGTTTCACTAAGTCGATAGGATAAAGCAAAAAAAAAAAAAAAAAAAAGGAAGATGAAAATACTATTGGGGCCAGTAGATGGCATAGCCGTTACGTCACTGGACTCCCACATGGATGGTCGCTGTTCAAGTCCTGGACCAGGCAGCTTGAAATTCACACTGGACACATGCACGTGTGTGTGCGTGCCCAAAATCCTGGGAGAAGAGTAGAGGAGAAAGGATTGTGGCATGGTCACCTCCCCAGGGGGTGATTTCTCACTGTCTGTCTCTGTCTCTCTGGTGAGCACATGTGCCCTACAGCAAAAATCTCTCTCTCAAAAAATAAAATGAAAATACTATCAACCGATTGAGAGAAAATACTTGCAACCTCCTTTCTGATAAAAATCATAAATCCGGGAACCAGCAGTTCGCGTAATGGCTATGTCGCTGGGCTCCCACGTAGTCGACCGCGGTTCGGGTCC